AATGCTGCACAGAGACATTTGTTAGTGGAAAGCCGATAGAGAAGCAAGAATCATACTCAATACCATGCATGCAGTGTGAAAGGAAGAAGGAAATGCAATGGAAAAGATGCGTGACGCTATCACTTCAAATCACAAAGCTCATCTTATCACAAAAAAGATGAGTACTGAGTGATTCTAGTGAAAATCAGCCACGCAAGGATAGAAAGACAGAAAGATAGAGGAAAGAAACATGACATCACCAAAATCATGCGATTCTTGCAGACGTAGAATTCAATGGTGTTGACAGTCCATCATAACCGCTCAGTTGTTTATGAGAACACATTCCTGTAGATGTTCATTCAAAACAAGAACATTACCCCATTCCATATCATTCCGCAATCATTATAGCCAACTGCTATTACTGTGACCAATTAACGTTTGAAGCAGATATGGAATCTAATGCGCATTAGGTCACCATAATCACAGCATGACTACGAACAACAAATACAAGAACACTAGGAAAACCTACACAGATGACGTCTTTGATGTGGAACTTTGACTCCAACTGTCTCCGATTCACACTGAAATCATCAACATAGAACTCATATTCGTGAACCTCGTAATTAAGAAGCATCATCTAGTCATGCACAAATGATACATAAGTACGAGTGCATGCGTGCAATGGAACCGTCTCTCCGTGATACATTCGAAGTTATGCAAAGAGAATTGGGGAACAAGAAACTTGCGTGGTGCTATCGCTGCAGATCACAAAGCTCATCTTATCATAGAAAGACGAGTACTGAGTGATCCTCGTGAAAGTCAACCACAATAGAAACAAAATGAAGCAAGAGAAACATCATCAACGAGCGTGGTGGCAAACGCATGCAAGGGTGATTTGTAAGTCGAAAGCCACATCACAACTTCGAAGCAGTCACAGGAAGAGCAGATTCCACGTTATTCTGAGCACATGATAGTCGATTGTGATTACTCTTCCCGATGCTCACTTGATTATAACTCACGAAGTATACTGACCGAAGTAACCACAATCTCACTATGTAACTACAACAAAGGGAAATGTGAACATGAAGCATGAAAGACTTACGCAGATTGACGTACGAGCGTTACGATGGTATCTGAAACATAAGACTTGTAAAAGAATGTAAGTACAGAAAATAACAATGAATAAAGCAGACAAGCACATGGACATTCAGTACAGATCGACAACAAAACACACACGTACACAAAGATGCACACACATATACAAACAAATATACACAGACATACATATACAAACACAACAACAAACATAATACATACACAAACATGCACACCCACACATACACATACATGCACACACACATATACAAACAAATATACACAAACATACACATACAAACACATACACATAAACACAAACAACAAACATAATTTATACACAAACATGCACACATATATACAAACAAGACTACACAAACATAATCAGCAAACATAGTACATATATACACAAGCAAATGTATGTAAAGCATATATAAATAGACAAGTAACGTATATAACACAAGCGCACTTGCAAAATGAACATTAAACGAATTGAAAGAAGTGAAACTTACGCAGATGACGTTGACAGCCTCGAAAACTTATAGCTCTGGATGCGTAGACGATATGCCTGAAAGCATCAGACATTTTATGTGAACATACCAACCAACGACATAAACAATGCGGAATACTAGTCGAGGACAACGTTCACCAACAAAATTCAATCATACAGCAATCAAATAAGACAACCACACAGCTACCACAAAGCAATTGGTTATTGAAAACGAAGATTCTGCATAAAAATAACGGAAAGCTTGTGAAGAAGGGACGCGAGATTGAATACAGAGCATAGCCGACGCTGTGCAAGATTAGTACGATGAGGAAGAAGATAAGAAAAGTCCAAAAAGTGATGAAAAATACGAAGGAATGCGATCGAGCATTATTTGGCGTGCAACTTGCGGCGATTAGTGCAGAGGCGCGTAAACATTGCAGAATGTGTACGAGTTTGCACGCGGGCACCGCGTTCCCTGGCGGCTTTCGTTCCCCCACCCCTTGACGACCTCTTTTCCGTCTGTTTCTCGCTCTCAACAGTGGAGCGCGTCACTTCTGCATATTTTTTACTCCCATCGCATGCGTCTAGTGCATCTGCTCTATTTATCATCAAACATCACCCTCCCTATCTTGCTGCTTCAGATCAAAGATTGAGCTGCGAATTCGATCACCGAAAAGTGCACAAAGTTGGTCCGCGCGCGTCTCTGCGTCCCTGTCGATATCGCGTTCACCGCCCGTCATTCATCGATGCACTCTCAAAGTGTGTTGTCGATCTCGACCTTTCCTGAGCGCACTTCTGCGCTTTAGTTTGTCTTTTGCCTCATTTATCAGTTGGTAGAGGTGGACTGCTTCCACCGGTTGTCGTAAATCTGGTCTTTAGTTTCATTTACTAGAGATTCAAACGTGCATTGTATCGTCTTCATCTTGCGAAGAGCTTCCTTCCTTTCCAATTTTTAATTGTCGTTACTTCGAAGCTTTGCAGTAACAACGTTAAGATTTTGCAGAATGGCTCCTCCAACATTTGCTGATCTTGGGAAATCATGCAAGGATCTTTTCAACAAGGGTTACAGTAAGTTCATACCATCATCTCCTTTATACTTGCAATTTTTACTATTAGCACTTGGTGCATTTATTAGGCACTGTAATCTGGATCTCGCGAGGGGGAAGAAGAGATTCAAGATTTGTCGCAAGATTAGGTACCTTTTTGGAATTGAATCGCTGTTCGTCACTTTGCGCCGAGTATAGTCTGTCATGTTAACACATTGACGACCGCTTGACACACATGGTGCGTCAAGGCTTGACAGACACACCATGTGTGTCGTCGAAATGGCTACTATTTTGTGTTAAATCCACTTCGGGAGTTTCTTTTGTACTGGATCTAAACACAACCTCTACCGTTTTTGTTAGCATTCCAGCGTTACTGTAGGTGTACTGTAGATGGAATTGTGCGTGATTTTATCTAAAAAATGTTGACTGATCCGTGAAACGCCTTGGTCGTCAATGTGTTAATCGATCATGTCACTGTCGTAACAAATATACTCTTTTGTTACGATAGTGAAGTAAGCTGCAGGCGAATAAGGTAGAGGGTGAATTTCACTTTTTGCCTAAAATTTTGTCTAAAGCTCGACGTTTGATAAAGACAATCATTGAGCAATATAACAGAACGCAGGCACAGAACGCAGGCAACATCTCTGCGTGAGAAGTAGGGATTTCCGCTTTTGTGCTTGGTTCCCACTTTTGATTGATATTTTGATATGCTGAGCGTGATACTGGGGTCAACATGTCAAATGCGCCACCTTTTCTATGCGAAGTTTCAACAGGATCTGAGTTTGACCCCATATCGTATATCTACAGCGAGACGCTAATTAGCGAATGCATGATTTTTCTAATCAGCATATCAGAACAATGACCATTAGATGCAAGTTTTAGTTATGTTTGAGATCTTGAGTAGTACCGAAGTCACCAACAAGAGCTGCTTCTATTCCGTGTGTCATAGACCAGTTTTATGTTTTGCATGAACGCTTTAACTGATGGGGTGTAATATCATCATAGGCTTTGAGTAGTACATCCACATACTCAGTGATAAAGTGGCTTGTTTAGCTGTAACGGAAGGAGTCATGTCAATAAGATTGATCTTTACTTTTTAATCGAAAGGAATTCGCTATTCGCAGCAATACAATCGAATACAAAGTGGATGGAGAGTACACTAAATCTCTTTTTCCCGTCTATGGGAGAGCTTATCGCATTCCCTCAATACAGTGTAAAGAAAGTTGGCACCATAAGCTTATGATGACCAAAATACAACAAAGCAGCAGTACACATGGGGTAAAAAAATGAAGAAAACTTATGGTTTCGTGTTAGCGATGCTTTTATATTTTTCAGATCACGGATTCCTGAAGGTTGACACAACTACCAGGGCAGGCGATGCGAAGGAAGTAGAATTCAAGACATCTGCGTCTCATAACTTGGGCTCAGGCAAACTTGGCGGAAACCTTGATGTGAAGTACAAAATCCCTTCGTATGGTAAGTGAAATTACATTCATGTTACGCTTTCGCTCATATCATGGATTTTCATGTCTTTTGCGCATTCATCCACACTGGTATAAGTGTTTGATTCGCTCGCTGCGAAAACTTTGTCGCTTTTTATCTCAAGTCTGTCGTGATGATGAGTTTTGACAGATCTAAGACATTAATCGATTGCATTTACTCAGTTGCAGTTATCGAGAGTTGTGTATCATTTGTTCGAGAGTAGGGGAATAACGTTTGCTTACGTTTGATTACCAAGTCGAAATTGCTCCTCTCGGGATTACAATTTGAAATGACAGAACAAACAAGCTCAAGCTGTGATAAAAAAGCGCAGCGTTCAGTTTCTCTCAGTCTAAGGTAAATCGCGGTCACATCACAAACTTGGTAAACTTCATAAGAAGGTTGTTTGCATCAAACAGCATTGCAATGGTTCCACAGAATAGATTTCATTGATAATCAGCCGAATTCCGGTATCATTCTTGTTATTTCGATTATTTGAATCGTTTTCATCAATTCAAGGGTAAAATGTTACTTTGATCGTCTTATACATTTGACACTATTGAATGTGATAGCAGTCATATGTTTTCTGATTTAACGCGGATGCTGGCGGCGATAGTACACTTTAAACATTTTCTCAGTCTTCCCTGGAATGAATGACGTTTCAAGTAGAAGATTGGTGTAACGGTTTTTTCCTGATTTAGCATGGGTACTCGTATGCTTTATCCCATCGATTGAAAGCGCGCCATGTTCCGTTTTCTCCCAAATTTTTTGGAATGTTATCTGTTATACCTGCTTGCAGGTCTCACCTTGACTGAAAAATGGAACACCGAGAATCAGCTCGGAACTGTCATCGAGGTCAATGAGCAATTTGGAAGGGGCCTCAAGCTTACTTTTGACTCTGTTTATGCCCCACATGCTGGTAAACGAACTGGAAAGCTGAAGGCCGACTGGGCTGCACAAACTGCTAGGGTAAGTTCAACGAACTCTAGAGATGTGATCATCGCGTCTTTTCTTATCTTGTTCGCTTCAGATAACAGCTGAAGTTGGTCTTACATCCTCTCCCGTCGTCAACGCTGCTGGTGTTTTCAGCCACGACGGATGGTTGTTTGGAGCAGCGGCTACCTTCGATACTGCAACAAATAAGGTTACTTTGCTCATCTTCTTTGTTTAAAACGGATATGATTGCTGTTTCAGCTTGCTTCAACCTCGCTGGCATTCGGGCATCAGGCTCCCGACTATACTTTGCATTCATTTGTTGTCAACTCCACCGACTTTGGCGCTTCTCTCTTCCACAAAGTTGCGTACAATGTAGAAATCGGAACCATGCTTGGATGGAAGGTATGTTCAGCTGTTCTTTGCTTACCACTACATCGATTTCAACGTTTCGTACATTCTTGACTCAAGCAGATAATCTGCTAGGTTACTGTTGCTAATTCCATTATTTTGTGTACAGAAGCATGTTCTCTTGAGTCATATTGCAAGAAATCTGAATATCTGGGCATGTAAGCCGCATTTCGTTAGTTTTTTTTCCCCACAAATGGCATACTTTCTTATCCTGTGCAATCGCTTTGCAATCACAAATGTTTTCTTTGTCTTATTTGCTGCTTTCTGATTTTGTGAGCTCATACACAATGGTCCCGATGATTTTGATTCAACGCGTCTAGCGCTTTAATTTGCAACAAGGTTGTCGAAAATGTTTACCGGACTTAGATTTTCATCTGAGCTTGAGTACAAGCACGGGATCAAACATTGAACATACGTGCGCGAAACAATGTCATGTTTTCACTTTAGTTTTATAGAAAAATCGCTTATCTAAAGTGTTTGTTGAAGGCGTCATGCTTGTCAATGCGACAACGACCTGCACCTTCGCCTCGCGAAATTTCTTTGATTACAGCTGCAGCAAAGTTATTGTTAGTTATGCTCGGATGCTATCTTGTCGCTAACGAGTGGGGCATAGCCACCAGCCACCATAGTCTTTCAGTTAGACGGCGCTTGTTTGTTGTAGTTTGAGTGTTTTTGATTAGACATTTTCAAGCAGTAAACTGGATGGGTTTATTTCCTTAAGTGTTGCAGAAGATCCAGCTTGTAAGGTGATAAAAGCCACATTGATATCAGTAAAGCGAATAATTTTGGAAGTCATTTTGAAATGTCAGATTTGATCTTACAGTCAATGACACTTGCCCTGGGTAAAAGGCAGTCATTTCATGACGCAAAAAGACTGTTGACCGCAGTAAGAAGGTCTGTAACTGCAGCTTCGCAATGATGCGTTGACTTATCTTGCTCGCCTATTTGCTTTGACTCTTCAGAGTGTAAAGTTAGACGTTTATCTTGTCTTTCACAGAAAAAGCAGGAAGCACCACAAGATCGCGAGCTTTTGTTGCTGCTTGGCGCCTTTGTCATCAAATCTAGAGCTGACACTCAGAGTAGGATAGTCCCACTCATTCCGTTTTATATGATCTAGTGCATTGATTTAAGCTTGGATATTCAGTCTGTTACTTTATCTCCAAAGTTTTTAGGTTGGAGGTAATGGAGCTGACTTTGGCCTTGCAGCTAAGTACGCCCCTTCAAGAGACCTTACTCTTCGTGCCAAGTTGAACAACTCTAGCCAGGTTATCATTAGTTTTGGTTTTGTTATTCGTTACTGCTATTTTTTCTTCCTACCTCGTTTGGATATTCGTTGCAAATTTATATATTCGAAATTTTTTCAAGGTGGCATTAGCTGCGACGCACTCCCTTTCACCCGACTTGAAGATGACGCTCTCATCGCAATTCAATTTGACCTCGAACGACCACCACAAATTTGGAATGGGACTGGAGTATGAACCAGCGCAGTGATTATAGTGTTGTTGATCGACTATCTCCATAGTCTCTAGATGTTTTTAGTCTAGTTATTGGTAGTTCTTGCTGGCCTGTTGAAGTTGTTTCCTGTGGATCCTTATTAAGATGGCGTAATGAAAATTTATGCGTTGTTTATAGGAAATAATTCTCGTTTGTGTTAAATTTGATTGTGTGTGTTATGCAATTTTTGTGCTCGTAACGTTTCACTTCATAAAAGAGAGTCGGGAGATTGGCATAACGAGGCATATTCGAGAAGATTATCGCATATAGAATGTGATAGAAAAAATCTTGGCAAGATTTATACAATCGAATGTACAGTATAATTATATTTTGTATAGATTCTGTTCCTCTGTTCTAGTAACCGCATTTGAAGATCATGACGTTCACCTGAATTGATTACAGAATTGTTGAACTTTAGAGTATTGAATGGAGAAGAAATTTGGCGGAAATGCACGTCGGGTTGTCACTTTTTTTAGCGTATATCTTTACAGCATGCGGGAAAAATACTAAACACTGCAACGTTAATGTGAACTGGTTCATGTGGGTTAAATACTATAGGGACCTACAAATCTCAAGAGTGATAAAGTTAGCAAAGGAATTCTGTTCGGTAAATTACATTCTGTAGAAAATAATTGTCATAGAATATATTGAATATATCAAGAAGGCCCTTTAAGAAACGGCCATATTAGATTTCTGGTACTAGAGTGAGATCGCAAACAGAGACTTCTCACAATCATCGATTACTTTGTAATCACGACGAAATTAGTTCTTTGCTTTGTGCAGATACTTGAGTGAGAATTCCTCCCTTTTGTTTTGAAAGTCAATAGCACTCAAACTCTTGTTTATGAGTACGCTGTGTCCCCCTAAATTTTGTTGAAAAATCCCCTACAGAAGAGTCGCCAAAAGCTTGGTTACAAGAACGTGAAGGTTGCTACTTAGTGAACAAAATTTTTGAAAAACTTTTTGAAATGTTTGCACGACAAACTGCACCACGAGGGCAGAAAAAAAGCAAAAATATCTTCAACTGCGCCGTGAAGTGTTAGGTAGAGATAGGATAGGATCTCGAAAAATCTGGCCAACTCGTTTATAAGATAAGCCCATTTCACCAAAGCTTGGTTTTTCATTCAAAAGTCATGAGGATCGCCAGAAAGCCCAACCTTCCTGCATTTCTGTTCAAACCTCATGACTTTTGAGTGAAAAACCATACTTTGCTAATCAAGCTCACTACAATTTAACGAAGAATTTTATCTGACGTATATTCTTGCCAATGCTTTGAGATGCGGCACAAGGTGTGTCACTGTCACAAACACTTCGCGTACTGCTATCGCAGAGAGTTTTGAAACAAAGATTCGATCTTTTCTCCAGCAAAAACCGTCATAAACAAGTAGCAAGCGCATGTTCACGTAGTGGGCTAGTTCAACTTGTCCTGAGATTTTTTTTATCGGTGAGTCATTTATAATTGACTATGCGTCTTGCACACCGTGCGCGCTATTTGACGTACCGAATGTTTATAGCCTGCTCATTTCAAGTAATTTCTTCTTGTTTTCTTGTTTTTTTTTTGATTTGATTGGATGTGTATTAGTGTAAGGAATGCACATTTCCACACTCCATCACGCTAGAAAAGGTTTTACTGAGGAGTTACAAGTTACGGTGTCGTCGATTGACGCGCACAGTGTGCAGACCCACATATTAACACGTTTCGGACCGCGAAATCGCGCGCGGCGAAAAAGAGGGTGCCCTAATCACGCGTACAAGGCGCGCCTTTTTCGATTTTTCAATCAAACTCCTCAGCCGCTCCAAAGTATTTCGGAAAGCGATCCCTATGTCGTACGATTCTCTCAGGCAATATACACCATGGCATAGGGTCCTTTGGTTGCAAAGTTCTTTGGCGTATTTGGGCCAGTCAATTTTGAAAAAATAATCCTCCGCGCCCTGTACGCGTGAAATTAGGGTACTTTCAGCCGTTAGCCAACAAAGAGACCTTAATTTGTTTACTGTGTGCTACATCTGTAATCAGCATGTCAGATAAGATTCATTCCCAAAGTTCTGAGTGAATTCGAAGTGTTTGAAATTTGTCGCCTGAGAAGGACTTCTGTGCTTTCCTGAGAGATAGGAACAAGAACTCAGTTTCTAATTGTATCCAAAAATATCTATGTTGTACACGATACACATCATTATTAAAACTATGGTTCTTCTTTTTGTATTCAAAGCTAAGAAAAGTTGCGACGTCGCACGCGTCGTTCGCGTTGCCGCACTTCGTTGCAACTGTGTTCGAATTGTGTCCTCATATCTTCTAAACAAATATCGGCGGCACAGCCTTACAGAGTCATTCAAAAAGGAGGAGCTTAGGCCTTTGACTATAACCTTGGACAAAAAGAAAACTTCCTGCAAACACTAAAAAGATCTTTGAAAGGCGCGTGCTGCACCATGTGCAGCACCGGTCCGGAACGTGTTAAGTTACAAATGACCCGAGAAAATACCAGTGGCGGCACGCCAGAGATCAAAAATGGAAGCTTTGAGATTGATTCGCTCGACTGATGCGTGAAATTGGCTTTTTCGATGAGTGATTATTAACAACTAGCTGGCTTACCCGGCTCCGCCGTATCCGGACCAAACTTGGCACACATACACTTCGGGCCCTGGCGGGTGTCACAGTCCACTTTTCGTTATCGATCGATGTCGATTTTACCGATTTTTATCGATTTTTTTGCAGAGTTCACTTACAGGGCTAGGAGTTGGCACAGGGGGCGAAGTGAGCATGGGGATTCCGAATACAACATTAGTTTTCAGGATCGTCCATTACTTTTATCGATTTTATCGATTTTTTTTTGTAAAGTTTGACCTGCGGGGCTGGGAGTTTGCACAGGGGGGTAATCGAGCATGCTGATTACGAACACAATATTAGTTTTCAGGATCGTCCATTACTTTTATCGATTTTATCGATTTTTTTTTGTAAAGTTTGACCTGCGGGGCTGGGAGTTTGCACAGGGGGGTAATCGAGCATGCAGATTACGAACACAATATTAGTTTTCAGGATCGTCCATTACTTTTTCGATTTTATCGATTTTTTGAAAATTTGAGCTAGGGGGCTGGAATTTGGCACAGGAGTGTAATCGAGCATGCTGATCACCCCCCTTGGGAGTGATCAGCATGCTCGATTACCCCCTGTACCAACTCCCAGCCCCCTAGCTCAAACTTTGCAAAAAAATCGATAAAATCGATAAAAGTAATCGATAATCCTGAAAACCAATATTGTATTCGGAATCCCCATGCTCGATTACCCCCCTGTGCGAACTCCCAGCCCCGTAGCTCAAACTTTGCAAAAAAATCGATAAAATCGATAAAAGTAATCGATAATCCTGAAACCCAATATTGTATTCGGAATCCCCATGCTCGATTACCCCCCTGTGCCAACTCCCAGCCCCGTAGGTGAACTCGGCAAAAAAATCGATAAAAATCGATAAAATCGATATCGATCGATGACGAAAAGTAGCCTATGACACCCGCCGGGGCCCGAAGTGTATGTGTGCCAAGTTTGGTCCGGATCGGTTCAGAAATGGAATTTTCTATTCGGAACATACGTACACACAGACATACATACAGACAGACAGACAGACAGACAGACATACAGACAAACAGACATTCAGCTTTATATATAAGATTCTAAAAAAATTGCAGATACTGCGTCATAGCCGTACACCTAGGGCGGGCTTAGAGCATTGCCTCAAGCACAGAAGCGATTTTTTTTAATGTAGATAATGGCTAAATTCAACAAGATGCTTACCCTATTGCATTTAAGAAGTAGGAAATGGCCCATCTCGTATGATACCCTAGAGCCAAAACATTTTCCGCATATAACGTGCCACGTTGGACTCAATTGCTTATCGAGTTCTTCCTTTATATAAGCTGCAACGTCCTGAAATTATGGATAGTGAAAAATGAGAGTGACTCGCTCCTAGGATTTGTAACAATTTACTGCTTGAAGCGTTTGATTTTCAAATTTGTACTGTAAAACTAGAGGATCCACGAAATTTCAGTGAGTCATAATTACGCAATCTATATGAAATTGCTTCTTATTATAGTTGTAACGAACTGAATTTTTCATCAAATGAATGGATTTAAATGATTGATTTTTGACAATTTTTCGAATGAAGAATAACGTGATTTATTTTTTGAAATTTTTTGAATGAATGAATATAATTCGATTTCCGACTTTCATATAAATTCGAATAATCGAATCTGGGCACATTCCAAGGTTTGGATATTTTGATCGAATTTTCGATTATTCGAATAATCTAATAATTGAATATTCGAATGTTTAAACATACAAATATTCAAATGCATTATTCGAATATGCAGAAAGCTCGCATATGAAACATGCGGATAAACATTTCAACACCCAAACATTCGAATATGTGCTTTCTTGCTCAAATATTCAAATATTCGAACAAGTGTTTAAAAATTTTCAAATATTGAATGACTGTATTCAAAAAATCCTTGAAAATTCGAATGCTCGAATAAGCCATCTTTTCAAAAGCGCAAAGGAATAAATATTCAAATGAAGGTCTTTTCACTCTTTTCACCTTCGACTATTCGAATATTCGAATAGTTGAATAAGTGTCAAATATTTCGATTAAATTCTTAAATCATTGCCGATAGCTAGATTCTTGGCGAAACCGAAATTCTTGCATTTGCGGCTTCAGTTTTCGTATCAACAATAGTCGCACAATAATTCTGGAAACAGATCTGATCTCGCATTAAATACTTCGCGTGTAATCTCCTTTGCTACTAACAAGAGTCCATTTAGTTTACTGGAATTCGAATCAAGAAAATCATGCAAGTGTTGCTTAAAGCCAAAAATTTTTGATGTGTTGGCGATACAAGTTGATGAGACTTTCGAATCATGGGATTTTCGGATCGGCTTAAAGAAGACGATAAAAGGTCAAGCGAAAGTCGTCTGCCGTACTTATTCATTCAATCAAAAAATGTGCAGTAGAAATGTCAATAATTAGATTTTCATTTTTTTTTCGATTTTAGTTGTTTGGAGTGAAATCAATGCACTGATAGAATAGGAGGTGGTGTATGTACTTTACATATGTGATGAAAATTTGTACAATACTACATATCCGGACCCTTTTCAAAACTCATGGAACGATATGAATCTTTTCTGTGCAACTTTGCGCGAAAATAATTAGAGGGATGGAAAGACAGGTAAAACTTTTTTCATGAATTTCATCTTATATATAAAGCTGAATGTCTGTTTGTCTGTCTGTCTGTATGTCTGTCTGTATGTCTGTCTGTCTGTATGTATGTACGTATGTTCCGAATACAAATTTTTATTTCTGAACCGATCGGGACCAAACTTGGCACACATATACTTCAGGGCAGGGAGCGTGTCATAGGCTACTTTTCGTTATCGATCGATATCGATTTTATTGATTTTTTGCAAAATTCGAGCTAGAGGGCTGGGATTTGGCAGAGGGGGGTAATCGAGCATGCTGATCACCCCGAAGGGGTGATCAGCATGCTCGATTACCCCCCTGTGCAAAATCCTAGCCCCCTAGCTCAAATTTTGCAAAAAATCGGTAAAATCGACATCGATCGATAACGAAAAGTGGGCTGTGACACGCTCCCTGCCCCGAAGTGTATGTGTGCAAAGTTCGGTCCCAATCGGTTCAGAGATAAAAATTTCTATTCGGAACATACGTACACGGGTCTAGCTGGCAGGCCCGGCGGAGCCGGGCAAGCCAGCTAGTTTGAAATAAAAAAGAGCTAGAAAGACACATAGATTTTGGTTTACCTTGTCGATATTGTACAATTTCTGTGCTTCTCGAACCACAGCAACGACCACTGATTGCTCCGCTTCTTCCATGTCGCTTTCTTTGACCTCAAACTTCTCGTCTGACATCGTTCTCGTGGATATTCTGGAACCTGACTTTTACATGTTAATTTATGCCATCATTATAAGAGGGGTGACAAATCGACTCTGATGGAAGTATAGGCATGATGGTATCGACCACACAACGTTAACAATGAGGTAGAGAGGTCGTTATTGGAAGCTGGGGGAAGTAATGTCTATCCATTTTCTTGAAAGAACTGCCTGTTGTAAGAAATCTATCACGAGATGTGAATGCATGCGAAAGAAGAGTCAGCTGTGAACTGTCATGCCGTTTTCAATCAATTTTCCCAAGAAAAATGCGCAAGTGAGGGACTGAATCCCAGGACTTCTTGGGCAAAGAGGCGTTTGCACTGGAATCGAAACGAGCACACAGCAGTAATTGTCCAAAAATTTGTTTTGCGGGGGAGAGGGGGGGGGGGGGGGGGGAGGGGAGAGAAGGAAGAGGAAAATGGAATTTTTACGAGTGACGAGTCTGAAATCAGCCGTTCCCACCGAATGTTTTGAAATGCTTCTCAAATTTGCGCGACTCATAGCCTTGACTTCAAAAAGGGAACGCTCGCAGATTTTTCTTAAGAGTGGGGAAGCTCAAACGTAAAATAGCTTCATGAGATCACATCTAAAAATTTACAATCCATTTCCCATATGAGAGAGATGGGGAGAGGGCTCAAAGGAGTGCTCTAATAGGTGTAATTTCTTCGTTACTTTGAAAAAAAAAGAAAATCGATGAGGTTTTCATAAGATATTGACATTCCTAGCAGTATAGCGATTGCAAAAAAGCTACCGCTTTTTATATTTGACAACAAACGCTGTCAAATTGAAAACAAAGTAAGACGACAAGATGCATGCTTGATATAACTACGATGAGACTACAGATATATCAGGTTGTCCCACTTTTTCATATTAACCAAATCAGTTCACTTCTATCTTTCAATCCAGTCTCAAGTGACTATTCAATACAGCGAAGTATATAGAGGTATATAGAGGTTATATAGAGTATATAGAGATTTGTGCCAAATAAATGCCATTTTGCTAATTCTCACTTGCTATGCTTTCTGAAAAATCTAAATTTCTGAAAGCGATAAAGACCATCAGAAGCAGCAGACCTTTTGCAACACAGCGCACATTCATCTATGCATTATAAATAGGCAGAAAAACATGGAAAACACAGAAAAGTATTTCTACAACCTTGTGACAGAAAATAACTCTATTCAACGTTTGTTACTTCATGATAAATAATAAGTTGCCTATCTTGTAGCCGCAAGCCAGTAGGACGAAAGAAGATGCAAAGATTTGAACAAAGAAGATTTGCAAAAAAATTAGAATCTAGCGTCAGCTTCTTCAACATATTTTCAGTGAGCCCCATAGTCCCAATACGAAATCTTCCCGTTCTCTTCGTACTGAACAGCTGAATGTTTTTGAAAAAACGGTCAACTATGCCCCACCTTTACGCTTACAATGAGCAAATCGTCGATTGTTTTCTTTACGAGAAAGTTAGAAAGTTAAGTTATAGCATTTTCTGGGGTCAAAATTTTTTGGATTTTGGCTTGAAACTCCACACTTTGTGCAATTGTTTGACAGTTATGCTGTGAGGCTTGTTTATTCTACATCAGAGCTTGAGCTCCGTTTAGAATATAGCTCTGCAGAAACTGCCGAAAAAAATTTATGAACTGCTGATAGCCTCGAAACTGCATTTTGTGGATGGGACAAGAATCAGATGTACGAATAGGCAACATTTCAAGTCTACATGAAAAAAAACCAAAAATTATGCCAGTTATACTAGCAAAACAAATACAAACGATACGAAAGCAGAGACGAATAGCACTGACATTATACAGCTTTATGAGAGTAATGAATAAGCGAGCCAAGAAGACTTGTAGACGGATATTTTTATCATATGCAAAGGCGCAGATGTAGATGTGTTCAATCTGCAAAGAATTCAAAAACATTACGCTATTATTTTTTCCAATGGGCATTTAGTTTTGCTGATGTGTACATTTACTAGGGGAAGTGCTCCAAGTTTTGACTTTGTCAGCCATTTAGTTATTCTGAACGGATGTCAAAAGGCAAGAAATTCTGTAAAAACCAGCGACAGACCGAATGGACTGGGGAGGGGGGGGGGGGGAGAGCCGAAAATAACCTGCTTGACTTATACAGCTGCCCTAGTAACCTTTTTATTTGCAGATGATCAATGTTTTTCAAACTTTTTTGGATTGAATTTTGTAGAGAAGTTTTCCCTTTTATCATCAATATTTCCGGAGAGCGAAGCTAACCCCATCTGTTTACCGGCACGTTCAGTCCTCCCCCCCCCCCCCCCCGGGAAAACCTGCGAAGCTCGATTACTAAATACGTGCTCCACATATGTTTGAATAAATGACACACTGTGCCCTGAGATCGCGGCTACGATGGTGATGTTCTTTAGTGTACAAAGGGCTTGACAACGATACGAACGCACATAAAGCTGCTTTGACTCTCAAGCATTTTCTTGCAGTTTTTCTCTGAACTTCCATATACAGGTGCTGTTTCAAAAGATTTTGAGAAAAAACAAGAAGCCAATTTCAATGCATCATGAATGTATCGAAGGGGCGATCCTTTGATTGATGAACCTACATCAGCTGCTATATGGCAATTACATAGCATCAAATAAAAGAAGAGACGATGTCAGAAGCATGTAACAGTCTGGTCCGGATGGCACAAATCGAAAGTTTTGGAAAATTCGGGAACTTTTGACCATGTTTTTTGTACTTCATAAATCTAACTTTTATGAATATGATGCAATCATTTTATTCTATTATGACAGACGCTATTTGTATTAAGAACAAAATCGAGAAAAAATCTTAGAAATCATGGTTATTCAAAAAAAAATTTATTGCCGGTATTCTTTGGAAGGAGTAGTAGGTCAATAAAAGCAATAACGCTAAAGAGTAGATTTAAGCGAGCCTTTCAGTATTCTTAGCAACCTGGCTAAGAATTCCACAGTTTGAGTGCCTTTTATTTGCTTGTATTGCTGCGATGTGAAAACAATTTCTTTTTGTAACAGATCCCAGAAGGCAGAAATTCCTCTCTTCAATATTTGCCACATCAGACAAACTCGTTCCTGGTGGAAGAGTTTTCAAGTTTAAAAATCCAACTCTTCTTCCACCTGTAGCATCGTGGTATTAATAAGATCATGTATGGAATATAGGTGTTATCCGTATCGCAAATAAAATGTAACTGATTGTGAGTCCCAGTATTCCAAAAATTTTAAGTAATTGTTTGATGTTTATTGATAGAAACGACATCACATACGTAGCAAATATTGATTTTATGCTGGAACAGCTGTGCGACCATATGTAATTCATGGAGGGTCACATCTATCAAAAAATCAAAGTAACGATCACAAGATCAAACAAGAACACATATTTTATGGAGGGCTTTTGTGAACAACAACTCTAGTTCAATATTGAACAGGGTAGGGTCAATTCTGTACAAAAATAAATTATGTTTGCTCTCCATCCAGATATGACTTTGACAATATTGATTGATTGGCCAAATTCAAAAATAAAAAAAGTTGAGATGGCTAAAGAAATAGATAAAAAGGATTGACTGACCTGTCTCGGCATGTGCTGCTATTACTAATATTCAAAGGAAAAAGGTTACAATTGAATGAATATATTCATAATCACTTATGAAAAGAAAACAAGCGGCGGGGTAGATATTAGAAAATTTGATGTCTCAAGCCAGAGTTGTGAGAAATTCGATTTGGAAAAGCCTGAAAAAAAATGTCTTAATATGATAATCAGTTGCTGTAGTGAAAGCAATGTTCTTCTCTACTATGCATGAGAATTCATTTGGAATAAAATCGAAATGTCGACTAAGAAAGCAAAAATTATAATTATTAGTATAGGAGTCATAGGCGTTCAGCACGACCTTTGTTAAAAAGTGAAGCCGTAAAACCACAAAAAAATTAATTGAATCTGGTCAAATCTTCTGCCATTTTCACAACCATAACTCAGAAAAATTGCAATTTAATTTTTTTGCCAGCCTGTAAATCCGCGTATGCCGTGTTGACACTGGCCTCGGGCACCATTGATGCATGATTTTGTCCTCCTAAGCTATATTAAGAGTCGATAAAATTCATAAGAATCAGAGAAATCTTTGAATAGTTTGATGTAAGGGTCAAAAACCTGCCCGAGGTTACAAGAAATTAGAGTAGCTGATTTTTTTTGGGAAATCAAGAAACCTAACACCTTAGTGAATTATCACTGAGCTGCCTGTAACAGGAACCGCGACAAATGAATGAGTATAGTGAGAGGATCAAGGAGACAACACCATATACTTGAAGATCTATGAGTATGCGATGACTTGAGGCATATTGCAGCAGTTGGCATCTCGGCCTATATCATTCGAGTATTACACCTTCACCGGGCATAATATCCGTGTGCAGACACAATTACAACACTACTGGCAGACTTTGATCAAAACTTGGAGAAAAGACTGCCTAAGCACATTTATTATCTCTAAGAAGAACTTTGAAAAACTTGAGCGTGCACACGACAAATAATCACTGTTTGTGTCGAAAATAATTGCACCCAAGTTGTTGACAAACTCAACATCGTTTTATCAGGTAAAGCTAAAAAAAACCTGCGGATTCATTCTGAAAACTCTCAAAGTTGATTAATGCGCTCACCAAAAAGGTTGGATGTTTCAGTATGTTTTAGCCGGCTTGTAATTCCATTACAATTAGAACCTTACAAAGCTTATTATGTCATTTCTTTACAAAGCTAAATGAATTTTTGAATATACGTTTAAAGTGCTTTTTGCAAGAAGCAATCTGCTAATATTATTACTAATGTTTCAAATTAGGTAGCTGTTGCTTTCTGTATGAGGGCTTCATGTTTTGCTAGTCAAGAGAGTTACATAACTTAATTAAAATTCTCATTCGAGTTCAAGCATAACAGCAAAGAAAATGATTTTGGAGGATATGATTGTGTCTGGAATCGCTTTTTATATGTGAAAACAAACGATTATGAACGAGCAATTGACAAAATAGAGA